CCCCCCCCCCCCCCCCGGGGCGCCCCCGGGGGTGGCCTAAACATCCACTGTGGATATTGGAACTAGCACCTCTTATCCGTGAAGGTAAAAATAGCTATGTAGTTGGGGTTCCAATAATTTCAAGAATATTGGGGTTTTGTTTTCTTTTTTGATTATGATGGATTGTAAAACGACAGAATGTAATGGAGCATAGCTAGTAGTACTTGTGAAGACTGAAGATGATACCGTGATTTCAGTATTCTGTACAGCACTGATAGATTTCTTCAGCCCCCTACAATAAAAGAAATATTTGTTTTTTTTATCATTTATTGTAATTTGATTGTTCTTTGTTGAGATTTTCTTGATATATTCCCCTTGAAGAATGTGATCTTGATCTGAATTTGAAATTCAGGAATGGTGTGGTATCTTGAATGTTTAGCTACCATCAGCCATGAGCCAGCTCCATGTTTACTATGATAAGACTTTTGAAGGTGAGATAATATTGCTGACACATGATTCTGGTTTACTAGCACCTTTATACCTCTCCAATGTAAATATTGATTTTTACTTTCTCGGGGGGATAACTCGGCAGTTTGCTTCATGAATGTAATTCCTACCCGTTTTCTTCAGCTTTTTTATTTCTCCCAGCTACTTTTGGGGGATTCATACAGTCATTGGAAGGTTCTTTCCTCGTACATCTCATGTGCCTCTCGTCTTTTTTTGTAGTTCTGTTTCTGTTTTTCCTTTTGTGTATATCCGGGAGGAGGTGTAGGTTGTCACTCGTGGGAACTTGAACTGATTTTGTCTGTAAATGCATAAGCTGTTTTATTTATTTTGTGAGAATCTGTGCAAAATCAATGTTTGTGTAATCTCGACTTACCTGCTTGTTATGTGGTAACTGGTAAGTGAATGAGGCGGGGCGTGTGTTTCTATACTCCCCGTGATACAATGTATGTAAAGTTCCCACTCCGGGGCACCCCTCTACGGGATATGTTTGAAGGATTGCAGAGTATCCAACGACATTCCTAGGAAGAGCATATAGAAATAGTTCTAGAGTTATATTCTACAAGTTGTTGAAAAACAATGGAGAATATACACCGAGAATCGAAGAATAAAC